GCACAATTTTAAAACAAATAAAATGTTTAGTGAGAGGCAACATAATGTAGCCTACACTGTGCTACTTTGATGGTGGGACATTTTTACATTTTAGTCATTTAGCAGACTCTCTTATCCAGAGCGACTTACAGGAGCAATTAGGGTTAAGTGCCTTGCTCAAGTGCACATCGACACATTTTTCAGTCGGCTCAGGGATTTGAATCAGTGACCTTTCGGTTACTGACCCAACACTCTTAACCTCTAGGCTACCTGCCACCCAATAAACTTATTTAAAGTGGATATATAGCCTTCATAGGGATCAAGGTTGAACTAAACACAGACACAACCATGTAGACGTATGCGGTTGGCCATGTAGCTAGACTAATCTATTACAACCAGCCAGTCAGATGAGGCCACAGGTTGTGTAGTACATAAATGCGGTGCTGAAAATACACCATTGTGGTTGTAATCCTTGGCCAGGCTGGGTCAGATGTATTGCTTATTAGCGTCTGTGTGATACAGAGCCCCTAGTCTGGCTGCTATCATCAGGCCATGCTGGCTGGCTCTCATTAAGGTTGAGTGTGTGATAGGGCCCACCCTGGCATCAATCTGAGGGGATGCTACTGTAGAACTGTCACATTGAGCTGCATTCAGTCTGGCAGACACTGATGTAGCCTGTCACTGTGATCAATCAGCGTTTAATCAGGGCTGTAATAATCACACTGAGAGGGAGCATTACTTAACACACTCATAATCACATTCACACATTATAAACACATACACACACTCAAGACCTTCACAGTTAATTACACACACACGCACCCACACAGCTCCAGCCTCACACATAGGCTACACAGACTTTTCAATTATTCAAATGTATACACATTTAGAATCTAACGCTCACACAAATACACACATTTGCAATCTGTTATTCACATGCGTAAACACATATTTCAAATGTACACAAATACACATTGACACTATCACTACAATTGAAAAACATATTTGTGCTTTCTCTTTTGTGCAGTATCCTATTCCAGTTCCATCCGTCACATCACACTGACGCCCATGTTCCCACAATCCTCCCTGCTGTCATTCATCACAATGTCACTCAAACTCTGGTCCCTGGAGGGTCATGGTAATGCTCCTGTGTGTGTGTGTGTGTGTGTGTGTGTGTGTGTGTGTGTGTGTGTATGTGTGTGTTTCTATTTCTGTCAATCTTGTTGCCTTGGTAGAAGGATATATACATTTTTGTGACAAAGGAAGGAGGAGAGTGGAAAGAGAAAGATCAAGGAAACAGGCAGTGGGCCGAGATTATGACAGTGAATTCTACTGTAGACTGTCAACATGATTCAGATTCAGAGTGTTTAATAGTCACATGTACAGGGTTGCAGGTGTGATTGCAGGGTACAGTGAAAATCTTAGGCTACGAGCTCCAACATTCTCCCTGACACAGGTCAACTGAGTGGTCACAAGACAAGAATAACTAAAAAGAGTCACTAAGGAACGTCACTGGTACAGAATCACTACAGGGAAGTATGACTACAGAGCATTTTTAGGTCAATATTTACACCCAAAGGATCCAACGGAGTTAACAGGAAATGACATATTGTCCAAACAGAGATTCTCAAAATAAAGCCACTATAGAGTATTACTAGGTTACAGATTCACCATTGAAGAATTACTACACAGAGTCCTGACAGAATTATAAATTAGTCACTTTGAGACCACCCCAACAAAACCAGTGAAGCTATTACATTACACATCACTGTTGCCTTGCCAATTAGTGTTTGTGCAGTGAGTGTGTCCCGAGATGAAAAACCAAGATATGAATCCATCTGTGACTACATCACTGGGCAACATGGAAGCCTCAACTCAGACAATCTACAAGCTGCCAGTTTGCTGGTTTAGACAGAGAGTGATGTCTTTGATATTCTCCTTTAATGACAGGAATGATTACACTCATCAAAGCAGATCAGCCTAAAGGCATTTCTACAGCAGGGCCTGTGTGTGTGCTACGGCTCTGTGGCTACAAGACAAAAAGCACTGAGGAAAACTCATTAGCAGCAACCTGTACATAAGCTACAGCCTGTGCATGGTCTGGAGAACCTGTTGGCTACAAGCTGTGGCTGGGCAAGAGCTGTAACCGGGCAACAAGAGCTGTAACTGGGCAACAAGAGCTGTAACTGGGCAACAAGAGCTGTAACTGGGCAAGGGCTGTAACTGGGCAACAAGAGCTGTAACTGGCAAACTAGACCTGTACGTGGACAAGAGCAGTAACTGGGCAACAAGAGCTGTTACTGGGCAACAAGAGCTGTAACTGGTCAACTACAGCTGTATGTGGACAAGAGCAATAAATGGACAACAAGAGCTGTAACTGGGCACCAAGAGCTGTAACTGGTCAACTAGATCTGTACGTGGACAAGAGCAGTAACTGGGCAACAAAAGCTGTAGTTGGGCAACAAAAGCTGTAGTTGGGCAACAAAAGCTGTAACTGGCTAACTAGAGCTGTAACTGGTCAACAAGAGCTGTAACTGGGCAACAAGAGCTGTAACTGGGCAACACGAGCTGTAACTGGGCAACAAGAGCTGTAACTGGGCAACAAGAGCTGTAACTGGGCAACAAGAGCTGTAACTGGGCAAGGGCTGTAACTGGGCAACAAGAGCTGTAACTGGCAAACTAGACCTGTACGTGGACAAGAGCAGTAACTGGGCAACAAGAGCTGTTACTGGGCAACAAGAGCTGTAACTGGTCAACTACAGCTGTATGTGGACAAGAGCAATATCTGGACAACAAGAGCTGTAACTGGGCACCAAGAGCTGTAACTGGTCAACTAGATCTGTACGTGGACAAGAGCAGTAACTGGGCAACAAAAGCTGTAGTTGGGCAACAAAAGCTGTAGTTGGGCAACAAAAGCTGTAACTGGCTAACTAGAGCTGTAACTGGTCAACAAGAGCTGTAACTGGGCAACAAGAGCTGTAACTGGGCAACACGAGCTGTAACTGGGCAACAAGAGCTGTAACTGGGCAACAAGAGCTGTAACTGGGCAACACGAGCTGTAACTGGGCAACAAGAGCTGTAACTGGGCAACAAGAGCTGTAACTGGCCAACTAGAGCTGTAACTGGGCAACAAGAGCTGTAACTGGGCAACAAGAGCTGTAACTGGGCAACACGAGCTGTAACTGGGCAACAAGAGCTGTAACTGGGCAACACGAGCTGTAACTGGGCAACACGAGCTGTAACTGGGCAACAAGAGCTGTAACTGGGCAACAAGAGCTGTAACTGGCCAACTAGAGCTGTAACTGGGCAACAAGAGCTGTAACTGGGCAACACGAGCTGTAACTGGGCAACACGAGCTGTAACTGGGCAACAAGAGCTGTAACTGGGCAACAAGAGCTGTAACTGGTACAACTAGAGCTGTAACTGGGCAACAAGAGCTGTAACTGGGCAACAAGAGCTGTAACTGGGCAACAAGAGCTGTAACTGGGCAACAAGAGCTGTAACTGGGCAACTAGAGCTGTAACTGGGCAACAAGAGCTGTAACTGGGCAACAAGAGCTGTAACTGGGCAACACGAGCTGTAACTGGTCAACAAGAGCTGTAACTGGGCAACAAGAGCTGTAACTGGCCAACTAGAGCTGTAACTGGGCAACAAGAGCTGTAACTGGGCAACAAGAGCTGTAACTGGGCAACAAGAGCTGTAACTGGGCAAGGGCTGTACCTGGGCAACAAGAGCTGTAACTGGCAAACTAGACCTGTACGTGGACAAGAGCAGTAACTGGGCAACAAGAGCTGTTACTGGGCATCAAGAGCTGTAACTGGTCAACTACAGCTGTACGTGGACAAGAGCAATAACTGGACAACAAGATCTGTAACTGGGCACCAAGAGCTGTAACTGGTCAACTAGATCTGTACGTGGACAAGAGCAGTAACTGGGCAACAAAAGCTGTAGTTGGGCAACAAGAGCTGTAACTGGCTAACTAGAGCTGTAACTGGTCAACAAGAGCTGTAACTGGGCAACAAGAGCTGTAACTGGGCAACACGAGCTGTAACTGGGCAACAAGAGCGGTAACTGGCCAACTAGAGCTGTAACTGGCCAACTAGAGCTGTAACTGGGCAACAAGAGCTGTAACTGGGCAACAAGAGCTGTAACTGGGCAACAAGAGCTGTAACTGGGCAACAAGAGCTGTAACTGGGCAACAAGAGCTGTAACTGGGCAACACGAGCTGTAACTGGGCAACAAGAGCTGTAACTGGGCAACAAGAGCTGTAACTGGGCAACAAGAGCTGTAACTGGGCAACAAGAGCTGTAACTGGGCAACAAGAGCTGTAACTGGGCAAGGGCTGTAACTGGGCAACAAGAGCTGTAACTGGCAAACTAGACCTGTACGTGGACAAGAGCAGTAACTGGGCAACAAGAGCTGTTACTGGGCAACAAGAGCTGTAACTGGTCAACTACAGCTGTACGTGGACAAGAGCAATAACTGGACAACAAGAGCTGTAACTGGGCACCAAGAGCTGTAACTGGTCAACTAGATCTGTACGTGGACAAGAGCAGTAACTGGGCAACAAAAGCTGTAGTTGGGCAACAAAAGCTGTAACTGGCTAACTAGAGCTGTAACTGGGCAACAATAGCTGTAACTGGGCAACAAAAGCTGTCATTCCATGAAATCTGAAATGATGTCCCATGTGACAAAGACAAACGACTTATTCCATATTTATGGGGACTATCAAGAGACCTGTAGCACAGACTGTCAAAACCCCTAAAGCTATACTGTGGTTGAAATCAAATAAATAAATAGCAGGACACCTGCAGAGTGTGGGCTTGCAGTACACAGTCACTAAAAAACAACCTGTAGATGGAAATAAAAAAATAACATGAGAAGTAAAAAAAAATAACATGAGAAATACACAGCAGGGGACCCAGTGGGAGGAAAAAGCATCAGCTACCATCAAGTCAACTCAGAGGGAAAAAACCTCTAACAGTATTTGGAAACTTGCAGACCATATCACGGAACACACATTAACACTTGACAGACAAAGCCTTCTGAGTGAGAGACTCAACTGCGCTGCAGGAGATCTGACCCATGCCAGACCTGAGCAAAGACAGGGAGACTATGAGTAGACTTACGGTTTTGAAGTCTTTGTGGCTGCACTCCTGGCCTTGGTATCGGCAGTAGAGCATCATCTCCTTGAGGTCGTGGCCCACCCTCTCGGTGAACTCACGCATGCTGAAGGACTTGGGCCTGTAGGCGGTGAAGTTGGCCTTGTCTGTGAGGAAGGCCAGGACGTGGGGCTCGGCCAGCTGGGGCTCAGGGATCCTCAGGTGGACGTCCAGCAGGGCCAGTAGCTCCCCAGCATGGTACAGGTCATTGCGGGACAGGCGGCTGAAGCGGTAGGCATTGAGGTTGCACACGGTGACGGCAGGGAACACCAGGCTGCCCGACACCACGGCATCCACGCTAGTCACATGGGGGTAGGACAGGAAATAGGCCAGGCGCTCGAAGCTCTCCAGGGCCAGGAGGCCCAGGCAGGCCAGCAGGGCGGCGGCCCAGAGCAGGCGGCGAGGCGTAGGCCGGCCGTAGGGAAAGATGAAGCGTAGGCCGTGGAGCGTGCTAGTGTGGGAGAAGGCCTGCCAGGAGGACGGGTGCAGACTGGAGCTCTCATGGCTCCCCTCACTGCCACAGCTCTCCTTTAGGTCCATCATGACCCCTTCGGCCCCACAGCCAAGGAGGCCCCAATACACAGACACCTACAGAGACACACACAGAGAGAGAGCGAGAGAGCGAGAGAGAAAGAGAGAGAGAGGCAATGCAATGAGAGCCCTGAACTACCACCTAGAATAAGATCACAGTCACACTTTCAGTTCATACAGAGAAAGAGAGAAAGAGGGGGAGGATGAGTGCCCCAAACACACACACCTGCAGCACAGAGAGAGACAAACACAGAGACACAGAGCAAAATAAAGCAACCCCCCCGCCCTCTCTCCTTCTCTCAGTGACCGTTTGTTTTCGTTGTCAGGATCCCAGAGGTAAGTCCACTGTCACACAGAGCGCGAGTGAGAGAGTAATTTAAGCCACGAGCCAATCAGAGCCACCTCTGTGTATTCAGTGTCCCCACTTCACACACACTCACACACTCACACACACCCAACTCTCTGGATCTCCCTGTGCAACTAATGACAAGCCTAAGCACCTCTCGTTCAGCCTAGCGAGATGACATCCAGCCTGTGCGTGAGTGTGTGTGAGTCTGAGAGAGAGGGGGAGAGATAAGGGGAGAGAGAGGGGGAAGGGAGTCAGGGAGGGATGGAGAAAGAGCCGCCGATGATCAGAGCCGCCGGTTAGTCGTGCATGCCGATCCAAACTCCTCCCATTCTCCTCCGGCCAGACGCATCCACTGATTCCGCTCTCCCTCCTCTTCCCAGCTCATCCATGGAGCGAGTGAACAACGGTGGAGCCAGAAGAGACGCACACGCTTACACACACTCGCACAGAGAGAGAGAGAGAGATAGAGAGCGAGAGAGAGCGGGAGAGAGAGATAGAGAGCGACAGAGAGAGAGAGAGAGAGCGAGAGTGAGAGAGGGAGGGTAGAGCACACAAACACACTCCTTCCTCCTCTCCACAGTGAAGTCTCTCTTATTGAATCTGCTTCTGTTTTCTTTCCCTCTTGCTCTCTGTTTTCTTTTCCGCCTGTTTTCATATTCCCCATCTCACCACTAACCGAGAGATGGATGGATGCAGGACGCAGATTGTCAGGGAGACGGATGGTTAGGGAAAGGTGGAGGAGAGAGATCATGCATGAGGAGTGGTGGAAAGGGATGGAGAGAGACAGAAGGAGGGGGAGATTGAGGGGGGAGAGGGGAAGCAAGAGAAAGAAAGAGAGAAAGTCTCCACTCCCCCACTGATAACAAACATTGCATTTTGTGCCCAGTGGGCAAGGATTGCACAGAGATATCACACAGAGCGAAGTAATGCAGAGACATAACCCCAAATGTGTGTGTTCTGTGTATCCCTGTATTAGCGTGAGTGAAAGATATCACACAAAGAGTCTGTATGAGAGAACATGTGTATTGAAGCTACATTTTACCCAGAGATATGTAACAGTGTGTGTCGATAGAGGGGGTAGCAGGGGTATAGGGTGGAGAGAGCAGGGCTGCATGTGCGAAGTAATACAAGGAGACAAGGGGAGACCGAGGGGGAGTGAGAAGAGAAGGGAGTGTGGCTATGTGTGCAAAAAGAGAAGAAGAGACAACCGAGGAAGAGCATGGTAAATGGAGAGGGCTACACATTTGATGGAATAGAAACAGACATGGAGATAGGAGCTTTGGAGTGGTGAGAGCATGTATGTGGCTAGCCTATAAGAAGACAATTATAAACTGGTTGGTTCGAGCCCTGAATGCTGATTGGCTGACAGCTGTGGTATATCAGACCATATACCACTGGTCTAACAAAACATTTATTTTTACTGCTCTAATTACGTTGGAAACCAGTTTATAATAGCAATAAGGCACCTCGGGGGGTTGTGGTATATGGCCAATATACCACGGCTAAGGGCTGTATCCAGGCACTCCACGTTGTATCGTGCATAAGAACAGCCCTTAGCCGTGTTATATTGGCCATACACCACACCCCCTCAGGCCTTATTTCTTAAATATAGTCCTCTACACAGGGCCGGTTCCAGGCATAAGCGACATACGCTGCCGCTTAGGGCCCCCCAGGCGCTAGGGGGGCCCATGATCCCTAGCGGGTTTTGGGAACTCAATTGGTGTCTCAATTTACTGTTGAGAGTTAGAATAGTAAAATACACAAGGTAAAAGTTCGAAATCTGGTTGCGCATCATCAGTCTTTCTCTTGTTTTGTCAGTCACTGACAGTCACAAAATTAGCCATGTGAGCTAACAATTTTTACATTTACATTTTAATGTCCAGAGTGACTTACAGTTAGTGCATTTATCTTAAGATAGCTAGGTGGGACAACCACATATCACAGTCATAGTAAGTACAGTTTTCCTCAATAAAGTAGCTATCAGCAAAGTCAGCGCTAGTAAGGGGGAAAAAAGTCAAGTGCTAGTGTTAGTTCACAAAAGTTTGTTTTCTTTAAGATGTTTTCGGAAGATGGGCAGGGAACCTGCTGTCCTAGCTTCAGGGGGAAGCTGGTTCCACTATTGGGGTGCCAGGACAGAGAAGAGCTTGGACTGGGCTGAGTGGGAGCTGCCTTCCCGCAGGGGTGGGAGCGCCAAGAGACCAGAGGTGGCAGAACGGAGTACTCGGGTTGGGGTGTAGGGTTTGAGCATAGCCTGAAGGTAGGGAGGGGCATTTACTCTAGTTGCTCCATAGGCAAGTACCATGGTCTTGTAGTGGATTTAAGCTTCAAATGGAAGCCAGTGGAGAGAGCGAAGGAACGGGGTGACATGGGATAACTTTTTAGATTGGTAAGTTAGTCTACCCAGTTATCTAAACTTGTAGTAATCATGTCCGAATACCGACCGGTCACGCATGCCCAGGGGCCTTGACCTCCATGGGGCCCTCATTGATTTTGTTAGTCACTCTCACTCAGATATCATTAACATGGCATATGTCATGGCAATATGTGTAGAATTTCAGGAAATTAACTTTAAAACTGCAAACATTTCTCTACAGCCCATGGCAAAATGTGTAGAACTGCAGAAAGCTTGCTTTAAAATGACAACATTTTCTCTACACCTCATGGCAAAATGTGTGGAATTGCAGGAAATTTACTTTAAAACGTAAATTTCTCTCTCCACCATCAAGAATGAAATGTTTTGCGTTGGGGGCCCAACCAAATCTTGCTTAGGGTCCCCAAATGCAATGTAACATTCACAGTTTTAATATCTCAATTTTCCTGTTCCCATCCCTTTATCCCTGCTGTGGAATGCCTTCACCACTAAACTAACTAGCCTAGTGCTTTACATTATCTCTATATGGATGGACAAGGAAGCATTCAATTAGCTTTATCTAGAAATCAATAGTCTAATGTTTAAATATGTAGGCTATGCTAGAAAGGTAAGAGAGCATGGCAAAACTGGCCAATCCCTGGATGTTACAGCAGCAGCATGGTTTTTCAACAATGTAGCTGGCGCCCGAGCTAATTTTGACCAATGGGTAGGCAATTTACACATCCATCTGCTGTAGGCTAGACTTTTGCTCTTCATTTCTGAACAGAAAAATGTATGAGGACTTGCCTGTAGATTAGCCTAGGTTGTCTAAACTTGGTTTGTAAATCTGGGAATGAGGCAGCTGTCATTTACACAGAGATATTAGAGACACACTTAGCATATTATATACTAATAAAAGCTGAAGGCGTTTTATCCTAATTAAAATATGTATGAGACTTACCCAAAAGTTGTGATTGTGGTGTGCTCGTTGCAAATTCCTTCTAGCTCTTAAACTCTTTCCCTATTGAGACTACACTTTGCATCCCTCTCTCTTTTTAAACCCAATATCGTTTTTTATATACATTCATCGTCAAGTGTGGGACCACCACGGTTCAGACATGAGCCTCCTGTAGCTCAGTTGGTAGAGCATGGGGCTTGCAACGCCAGGGTTGTGGGTTCGATTCCCACGGGGGGCCAGTATGGAATAAAATGTATGCACTCACTAACTGTAAGTCACTCTGGATAAGAGCGTCTGCTAAATGACTAAAATGTAAAAAAAAAAAAAAAAAAATAGTATCATACTGTTCAGAAGTTTGGTCACTAGAAATTCTGTTTTCGAAAGAAAATACATGTTTTGGTCCATTAAAATAACATCAAATTGATCGGAAATACAGTGTAGACATTGTTAATGTTGTAAATGGCTATTGTAGCTGGAAACGGCAGATTTTTTATAGAATATCTACATAGGCGTACAGAGGCCCATTATCAGCAACCATCAGTCCTGTGTTCCAATGGCACGTTGTGTTTGTTAATCCAAGTTTATCATTTTAAAAGGCTAATTGATCATTAGAAAACCCTTTTGCAATTATGTTAGCACAGCTGATTTTGTACGTTTGCCCACTGACAAAGACATGATCAGTCTATAATTTTAATGGTAGGTTTATTTGAACAGTGAGAGACAGAATAACAACAAACAAGTTATTTGTTTCTGGCCATTTTGAGCCTGTAATCGAACCCACAATTGCTGATGCTCCAGATACTCAACTAGTCTCAAGAAGGCCAGTTTTATTGCTTCTTTAATCAGCACAACAGTTTTCAGCTGTGCTAACATAATTGCAAAAGGGTTTTCTAATGATCAATTAGCCTTTTAAAATGATAAACTTGGATTAGCAAACACAACGTGCCATTGGAACACAGGACTGATGGTTGCTGATAATGGGCCTCTGTACGCCTATGTAGATATTCCATAAAAAATCTGCAGTTTCCAGCTTCAATAGCCATTTACAACATTAACAATGTCTACATTGTATTTCGGATCAACTTGATGTTATTTTAATGGACAAAAAAATAGCTTTTCTTTCGAAAACAAGACATTTCGAAGTGACCCCAAACTTTTGAACGGTAGTGTGTCGGCTCAAGCTCCGTAGGCCTATGCAGCGAAAGTGGTTTGGCGCGTGGCACATGATGGGTTTACACACTTGAACCACAGATGACAGGGAATGTTAGTCATAATCGTTGCCTGAACAGAGCATTCTTGAACAACACAACTTGCATGCCTGTGTGATTCATTCTCTTTTATGGTAAGTTTGAGTTATATTATCCATATAATAGGCTACCGCTATGACATTTTTTTTTGCCTATTCGTTCCATCCAACCATTTCATGGGGATTAATTACCCGACACATGAAAACAGTCACGACCGGGTTGATGGAAATATGACATTCCAGTACAATTTTATAAATGCCAACAGACAATTTGTTCGTTCGACATGGTGGGATCTTTTTTGTGTCTGTAAAATTAATTATGCGAATAATGTCAGTGGAAGCAGCTTTATGTGCAAATATTGATATAATAACCATCATATCAAAGTAAACTTAGAGTCACGCGATGATACACTATATAAACAAAAGTAGGTGGACACCCCTTCAAATTAGTGGGTTCGGGTATTTCAGCCACACCCGTTACTGAAAGGTGTATAAAATATAGCACACAGCCATGCAATCTCCATAGACAAACATTGGCAGTAGAATGGCCTTACTGAAGAGCTCAGTGACTTTCAACGTAGCTCCGTCATAAGATGCCACCTATCCAACAAGTCAGTTCATCAAATTTCTGCCCTGCTAGAGCTGCCCCTGTCAACTGTAAGTGCTGTTATTGTGAAGTGGAAACGGAGCAACAACGGCTCAGCTGCAAAGTGATAGACCATACAAGCTCACAGAACGAGACCGCCGTGTGCTGAATCGCATAGCGCGTAAAAATCATCTGTCCTCGGTTACAACACTCACTACCGAGTTCCAAACTGCCTCTGGAAGCAACGTCAGCACAAGAACTGTTCATGAAATGGGTTTCCATTGCCGAGCAGTCGCACAATAGCCTAAGATCACCATGCACATGCCAAGCGTCGGCTGGAGTGGTGTAAAGCTCACCACTATTGGACTCTGGAGGAGTGGAAACGCGTTCTCTGGAGTGATGGGTTTTTGCGGATGCCAGGAGAACGCTACCTGCCCCAATGCATAGTGCCAACTGTAAAGTTTGGTGGAGGAGGAATAATGGTCTGGGGCTGTTTTTCATGGTTCGGGCTAGGCCCCTTAGGTCCAGTGAAGAGAAATCTTAACGCTACAGCATACAATGACATTCTAGACGATTCTGTGCTTCCAACTTTGTGGCAACAGTTTGGGGAGGGCCCTTTCCTGTTTCAGCATGACAATGCCCCCGTGCACAAAGCGAGGTCCATACAGAAATGGTGTGTCAACATCGGTGTGGAAGAACTTGACTGGCCTGCACAGAGCCCTGACCTCAACCCCATCGAACAGCTTTGGGATTAATTGGAACGCCGACTGCGAGCCAGGCCTAATCGCCCAACATCTTTGCCCGACCTCACTAATGCTTGTGGCTGAATGGGAGCAAGTCCCCACAGCAACGTTCCAGCTGATGAAACTGTGGGTTTGCACAACCGAAGAATTTCTGCACAAACTGTCAGAAACCGTCTCGGGGGAAGTTCCTCTGCATGCTTGTCGTCCTCACCAGGGTCTTGACCTGACTGC